AGTTTAAAAAACTGTTTTAGGGTTAATAAATCCCAATAATTGTTTTTAAAACACACACAAAAAAAGTAACACCTAATAAGGGTAACTCACATAGGAAATTTATAGTAAATGTTCAAAATGTGCGACATTTTGCTCCATGCAACAATAAAGATTTTGTTCGAATTTTGCTCTTACATTATTCAACATCTCAGGAGTTATAGCTTGGCATTCATCAATAATTCTACGACGAAATTCATCTGGCTGTGTAGCATAAACTTCAGATTTTAAATATCCCCACAAATCCTGTTCAATTATTTCAACTATACGAGGTTGTATTGCCTCTTCAAGAAGTTGTAAATAAGAATCGCCGGTTAAATTTCCATCAATGAAAAATGGACCTACAATATGATTGCCTAATATTCCGGCCCAGTTCTATTCAACTGATTGATCAGAAAGTGATCACCTTCTGCTTGACTCTGATAAATATGAATGATTGCGGCTTTTTTTGAGAAAACTAGTAAACCTTTTTTTTCTGCTATTTCCTAAAAATGTATCTTCAGTTGTATTGAGAGACACGTATTCTTCAAATAATTGATCGATTGGAGTATAACTTATGAGTATATCTGTGATTTATAAACAACACAAACTGGCCATTGTGTGATTTTCTGATAGACCTTTGTATTATTAAATAATATTCGAAAACATTTTTTCGAAAAAAGCCACGCAAATCTGATTTTTTATGTAAATATCATGCATAGACTTGTGATGCACTGTTTGGAACTTTTGGTCTAGTAATGAATATTACTGAAGTTTTTTCCCAACACCAAACCGTTATTTAACACCTCGGATCACTTGGTGATTGAAACACGTATCCAGGTGTTAAAATAACGGTTTGGTGGCAAAAAACTGAAGTAATATTCATCAAACATAGAGTTTATACAATATAAATAGTTATATTCCTGCTTTGAAAGGTTTTTAATTGCAAAAAATATAGACTAACAATTTTAAAAAAACATTAAAATCGAAGCTTTTTCTCAGAACTTCCGTAAAAAAGATTTCTCCGATTTGATTATTGATTTTCGTTTTACAATTGTCTGAATTTTTATTTTTCTATATTTCTCTAATGCTNATACATATTGTTCATGTACCTCACACAGCGATGACTATATGTATTCATTTTTGAAACTGCAAAGTTTCGAAAATTAATACATTCAAGTTCAAAAACCTTGTGTAGTTGAACCTCAACAGTACCTATTTTCTGCTAACTTTCTTTTAACTTTTGTGTAATGAAGGTCTTATGAATTATTACAATCTACAGCGATTCGAATCAAATATGAAGTGCCACTTTTATACAAGCACAGCGTTGGGAGCGTACATTTTCATAAAAAAAATTAAACAGTTGTCAAATTTGAAAAGATATCCCAAATTCAACCAACCGATTTTCATTATTGTATTTTTACTTACCCCCGCTACACATAGTATTATATGCCAAGCTGGTTTCTGAGAAAAATTATAACTCTTGAATATTTCCCAAAATATGAGTAGTATAAAAACTGCTAAAATTTGTTGAAATAAAATTTCAGAAACGTGAAGAATTCGAGATTTTGTATTGACACCCATTTTCACCGCTATCAAAGATCTAATGAATCCAATTGAAAATTGTATCTAAGATATATGTACTCCAAATCAAGTGTACTACTTTGATGGGGGAGAGTAGGATCAATTGATTTCAGATTAAGGAAGAGGAGAAGGTATGAATTATAAAAATCAAATGGATACTTAGTCCCTAGGAGAAAAACTACCTGGAATTGAGGAAAAGTTGAAATATATTGATATGCTTGATTAATGATTCATGAAGAGTTTCTTCTTCATTTCAACCGTTAATAATTCATATAATACATGTAATGAAAGTATACCTGATAGTTTAGTCCACTCATTGACTATAATAAATAACCAAACAGCACCAATTTGCACAAAAAATTCAATTCAGTTTCTACTCGCCCTCTATTTCAAAGCCAACCCTCTACCTGGGGTTGCTTCTTACCTGAAGATGGATGCCACCCTGTCTCGATGATAATATAATGACTTGCAGGCCCCAAGTACTGTCCATATTCCTATGATTCCTACTAGTCCTACTGTAGCCTGTTGATCATTGGGTTTTACGAAGTCAGAGAAACCCCAATAATACAATCCCAAACACAAACTGAGTATGCCTACTGCGTATCCTACAATTCCAATGTAGTTGTGAATGAATTTTAAAATTACTGGCTTGATCAAATTCTTCAGAGTATGGGAATATGTAACAAACAGGCCAAAAATTATAGATACCACGGCTAGGATCCAGGAAATCAAACCTGAAATAAAGGTAAAAGTTAGCTGTCCTCCCAAGATACGTTTATTGATGTTCATTGAACCTAGAAAGCCATCTCGGCAAAATAATATATTTTCTTACACAATAATAGGTTAGGTTAGGTTAAGTGGAAGACCATCTGTGAGCATATCTATGCTCACGATGAACTTCGCCTTTTCAGCGCGCATCTCATATGTATCCCTGGACTTCCTCTCGTGAATGTATAGATGGGGTCAAAATATCACCAGTACTTCATATAACTTTTCTTCCTAAAATCCTTCGTTACCAAGTAACGGGCCCTCGAAGTTACAAAATGAAAAATGTTTTTCTTTGATAACTTTTCAAGTGAATATTCAAAATCATCCAAATTTTGGTAATTGACTAAACAAATGAATTCCTTCGATGAGCTTTCATGCAGGAGTCAGTTGTTTTGCTACAAAGTCAGGAACGGACTACCCCCGATGGT